GCCGCAGATATAAATAACTAAAAATTGGTTTTGAATTAAAATCGCAGAGTTTATTAGCCTTGGTTAAGGTAGTAACTACTCTTGGAGGTAGCGGATTGCGATCCGCTACACTCGGTTATTGGTTCTTGTAAGTCGGTGACCTAAATTACGCCTCCTCACGCGCTAAGCTACGGCAGCCCCCCTGCATCATAATTGAACTCTCTCAAGTTCTTGATATGCTGCTAGCAGCTCACATGTACCATGGACCTCTCTTCTACGAAGTCTCACATCACCTTCATGAGTATCGTCGTTTCGGTACTTGTGAGTGTTCACAATTGCATAGAAACGTAATATGAACCTCGAACAATTGTACAGTATTATACTTAGTAGAAGTGTAAGGTGTACGCCCAAAACGATTCAGTACTCAGCCCGTTCCACAAACTCAAACTTAGTACCTTCTTCCTTCAGAGACTCTTCCTCTGTGCACTTGTAATCGCGAGCTCTTTGACTCACGGCTTGTGTTGTACAAGGCGCATGGAAATCTTGTTGCACATGACAAATTTCCATATAATGCCTAGCGCGACGTGTCCGAGAAGCCTCTCCTTTACCCGTCATGCTACTTCATGTTTGGTATCTTATCTTGGCTCACTTCGAGAAAATTGTTATTTGTTTGCTCACTATACTACTCATTCATCATGCCACCTCGTATAAGGTTTTTCACATCATGGAAGAATAATATCAGACAATATACAAAGTGGTTTTGTAGTTATCGCGACCACCATGGGAATCAAGGGTCTGATGAAGCTGTTACAGGAGGAGGCACCATCCTGCATCAAGGAGGTGGAGAAGATGTCGGCGCTAGCGGGACATGCTGTCGCAATCGACGCCAGTATGGCGCTGTATCAGTTTCTTATCGCGATTCGATCTGCTGATGGCGGCGGTCCATCCCAGGCTCTGACAAATGCAGACGGAGAGGTGACGTCCCACCTTCAGGGCATGTTCAGTCGTACTATCCGCATGATGGAGAACGGTTTAAAGCCCGTTTACGTCTTTGATGGAAAGCCTCCTGTCATGAAGAGCGGTGAATTAGCTAAACGCAGTGACCGCCGACAAGAGGCGCAGAAGGCACTTGAGGAGGCTACAGAAAAGGGGATTGCTGAGGATATTGACCGTTTTAATAAACGCTTGGTTCGCGCTACGCCGCAACATAATGCGGATTGTGTGGAGCTTTTAAGTTTGATGGGCGTGCCACACATCATAGCTCCGTGCGAAGCTGAAGCCTCGTGTGCTGAACTTGCGAAAGGTGGTCACGTGTATGCAGCAGGCACGGAGGATATGGACGCTTTGACTTTCGGTGTGCCAGTGCTCTATCGACGTCTGACTGTGTCACCTGCAAAAAAAATTCCGATCCTAGAGATTCGTTTGGAGCGCGCTCTTCAGGAACTCGGGCTTACTTATGAGCAGTTTGTAGACCTTTGCATTTTGTGCGGATGTGACTATTGCGACTCGATTCGTGGAGTGGGTCCGAAAAAGGCATACGCAGGAATCAAAGAGCACAAAAATATTGAGAATTATATTGAACATTTGCGGACGCACAAGAGTAAAGGTGTCATTATTCCTGACGAATGGTTAGGAGAAAATCCCATTTACAAGAATGCACGCGAAATGTTTATTCAACCTGAAGTTGTTGATACTAAGAAAGCAAAGATCAAGTGGAGTGACCCACAAGAGACCGAGCTGCTGGACTTTCTTGTCAAGAAGCATGGCTTTCAAAAAGATCGAGTGCTTTCGGCCATCATGCGATTGAAGAAATCTAAAAGCACGCAATCGCAAAAGCGACTCGACAGCTTTTTCAAAGTGCTGCCGAGTACTGGAGATAGCGCAAAA